TTCTAGATTGAAGACCATTTTCCTTGTTAATATTCCCTGTTGGGATCTCAGTATCTGCCTACTCTGTTCCTGATCATTCATCTCTTTAAAATAGTTCAATCCACACATAGAAAAGTAAAAATCCAGCCCAGTGCCGGTGGCTCACACCTGTAATCCTAGCTACTAGTGAGGCTGAGATTGGGAGGATCATGGTTTGAGGCCAGCCCAGGCAAATAGTTCACAAGATCCCCCATTTCCAAAATAATCAGAAGTTGCAAAAAAAGACCCTAGGACTGGCTCAAGTGGCAGAGTGCCTGCTCTGCAAGTGTGAAGCCCTGAGTTCAAACCCAGTCTCACTAACCTCCCCCCAAAAAGTGAAATTCCACATGCTAAAGAATGGAGTCTGCCCAAAAGTAATCTACATGTTTAATGCAATTCCCATTAAAATCCCAAATGACATTCATCAAAGAGACTGAAAAATCTACTGTTAAATTTATATGGAAACACAAGAGGCCACGAATAGCCAAGGCAATAATCAGTCAAAAGAACAACGCTGGAGGTATCACAATACCTGACTTCAAACTATATTACAAAGCAATAACAATAAAAACAGCATGGTACTGGCACAAAGACAAACATAAAGACGAGTGGAACAAAATAGAGGACCTGGACATGAAGCCACACAACTATAACCAACTTATCTTTAACAAAGGTGTTAAAAATATACAATGGAGAAAAGACAGCCTCTTCAACAAAAACTGCTGGGAAAACTGGTTAGCAGTCTGCAAAAAACTGAAACTAGATCCATGTTTATCACCATATACCAATATTAACTCAAAATGGATCAAGGATCTTTATATCAGACCCCAAACTCTAAAGTTGGTATAGGAAAGAGTAGGAAATACCTTGGAATTAATAGGTATAGGCAAGAACTTTCTCAATGGAACCCCAGCAGTTCAGGAACTAAGAGATAGCATAGATAAATGGGACTTCATAAACTAAAAAGCTTCTGCTCAACAAAAGAAATGGTCTCTAAACTGAAGAGAACACCCACAGAGTGGGAGAAAATATTTGCCAGCTACACATCAGACAAAGGACTGATAACCAGAATATATAGGGAACTCAAAAAACTAAATTCTCCCAAAATTAATGAACCAATAAAGAAATGGGCAACTGAACTAAACAGAACTTTCTCAAAAGAAGAAATTCAAATGGCCAAAAACATGTGAAAAAATGCTCATCATCCCTAGCAATGAAGGAAATGCAAATTAAAACCACACTAAGATTCCACCTCACCCCTGTTAGAACAGCCATCATTAGCAACACCACTAGGTGTTGGTGAGGATGTGGGGAAAAAGGAACCCTCTTACACTGCTGGTAGGAATGTAAACTAGTAAAACCACTCTGGAAAAAAATTTGGAGGCTTCTTAAAATCTAAACATATGATTCAGCAATACCACTCTTGGAGATATACCCAAAAGAATGTGACACAGGTTACTACAGAGGCACCTGAACACCCATGGTTTTTTTTGTTTTTTGTTTTGCTTCTTTTTTCTTTTTTTTTTTTTCAGTGCTGGGGACTGAACTCAGGGCCTTGCACTTGCCAGGCAAGCGCTCTTCCACTAAGCTAAATCCCCAACCCCTGCACACCCATGTTTATTGCACCACTATTCACAATAGCCAAGTTATGGAAACAGCCAAGATGCCCCACTACTGACGAATGGATTAAGAAAATGTGGTATTTACACACAATGGACTTTTATGCAGCCATGAAGAAGAATGAAATGTTATCATTCGCAGGTAAATGGATGGAACTAGAGAACATCATTCTGAGTGAGGTTAGCCTGCCCCAAAAGACCAAAAATTGTATGTTCTCCCTCATATACGGACATTAGATCAAGGGCAAATACAACAAGGGGATTGGACTTTAATCACATGATAAATCGAGAACACACAAGGAAGGTAAAACACCCAAAAAACTACATAGCATTTGTTGCCCTCAATGCAGAGAAACTAAAGCAGATATTTTAAAGCAACTGAGGCCAATAGGAGAAGGGGACCAGGAACTAGAGAAAAGGGTAGTTCAAGAAGAATTAACTTAGAAGGTAACACACATGTACAGGAAAGCAATGAGAGTAAACTCCCTGTATAGCTATCCTTATCTCAACTAGCAAAAACCCTTGGTCCTTCCTCTTATTGCTTATACTCTCTCTTCAACAAAATTAGAGGCAAGGGCAAAATAGTTTCTGTCTGGTAGCGAGGGGTTGTGGGGAGTAAGGTGGGGGGTAAGGGAGGGAGCGAGGGGAAGGGGGTGAGAAATGACCCAAACATTGTATGCACATATGAATACAATAAAAAAAGAAAAAGAAAATAAATGTTTAAAAAGTAAAATACAAAAGAAAAAAAAAAAGTATGGCATCTGGACTCTTACCTAACATCCTCTACAAAAATTAACTCAAAGACCAAAGACCTGGACATACACCCTAAGACTAACATTCTTAAGGAGGAACAAACACAGAGAAATATGTCACAACACTGGACACGGAACTGAATTCCTGAATACACCAAGACACAGGCAACAAAAGAAAAATTTACCAACTGCACTTCACAAAATTACAAATGTTGTGCAATAGAAGGCACTATCAATGGATAAAGAAGGTAGCCCACAGAATGGGAAAAGTACTTGTAAATTATTAAAGGATTAACATCTGGAATATACAGAAATTTCTACAATTCAGTGACAAAAAAATAAAAACTGCTGGGTATCGGGGACTCATGCCTGTAATCTTAGCTACTTAGAAGAGAGATATCAGAAGGATCGTGGTTCACAGCCAGCCTGGGCACATAGTCTTTGAGACTATCTCGAAAAAATCTAATACAAAAAAGGGCTGGTGGAGTGGCTCAAAGTGTAGTCCCTGAGTTCAAGCCCCAGTACTGAAAAACAAAAACAAAAACAAAAAACAAAAAACAAAAAAAAAATTCACCAGATTAAAAAATGTGCAAGGAAGGCCAGGTGCTAGTAGCAAACACCTTCAATCCTAGCTACTCAGGAGGTAGAGATCGGGAGGATTGCATAAGATCCTATATTGAAAAAACCCAATACAAAACAGGGCTGATGGAGTGGCTCAAGTGGTAGAGCGCCTGCCTAGCAAGTGTGAGGCCCTGAGTTCAAGCCCCAGTGACACCATTAAAAAAAAAAAAGGTGCAAGGAATCGCCAAAGAAGACACAGAAATGACCAGCACGTACAAAGATGACCAATGCCACTGATGTGAATCCAAACCACAACGGGCTTACCGCCTGAAGTGTATCAGGGTGGCCACTATGAACACCAACCTCGCAAAAACCTCCCATGACGAGGATACAGGAAACTGGTCTTTGTGCTCCGTTCATGGGACAGTGCAGCATTCCTCTAAGGGTGCTGCAGCTGTCATGAGGCAGTGATTCCATGCTGGGTGCGTAAGAACTGAGAGCAGGGTCTGAAGAAATGTTTGCACACCATGTTCAGAGCAGCACTATTCATGAGAGCTAAAATGTGGAAGGAACCTACATGTCCACTGATGAATGGTTGACTGAATAAGAAAAACGTGATATATTCACACAATGGAATGTTATTCAGCTTTAAAAAGGGAATTTTTGAGACAGTCTCACTATGTAGGCCAGGCTGTCCTTGAACTAACAATCCTCTTGCCTTAACCTCCAGAGTGTCAGGATTAGAGCCATGTGCCATCACATCTGATTTTTCTTAAAAAAGAAATTCTGATACATGCATGGGTGGACATGAGAACACTATGGTTACTGAAATAAAAATGGCCACAGCCCCAGAAAAACAAATACTATATGATTCCACTTTGCTGAGGTACCTTGACTAGCCAAAAATCAGACACTCAAGGCAGAAGGGTGGTTGCTGGGGGCTCGGTAGTGAACAAGGAGTGGAGTTGTGTTTAATGGAGTTTCTGAGGGCAAGGTGAAATTCTCAAGATGAGCGGCTATGACGGCTGCACAGAACTATGAGTGTGTTTAATACCAATGACCATGAGTTTAAAAATAGTCAAAATAAGAAAAAAACTGCTTTTCCTTCTTGGTGCTTGAGACCCTATCTCGAAAATACCTGTCACAAAAAGAAGGGCTGGTGAAGGCCCTGAGTTCAAGCCCCAGTACCGAAAATAAAAATTAAAAAAAAAAAAAGAGTAAGAAATGACACAAGTAAACAGTGTGGTAAAGAAGAAAGTAAGCTGTGGAGAGGACTGGGGTTGTGGCTCAGGGGTGAATCACTTGCCCAACACGTAGGCCTTATGTGGGGATGGGGATGGGGAAGAAAACTGTGCATTTGGGACCCTGGATTCATTCTTTCTTTTTATTTGAAGGTACTAGGGTCTGAACTAGGCTTGGCACTTGCTAGGCAGATGCTCTACTGCTAGCCCTCAGTTTCTTAAACAAAGGGAAAAATAGCTCTGTGTGCCTGTGGGTCTAGGAAAAATTCTATAGCAATAAAGCCATCTTAAATAATTCAAAATCTCTCCACTTAAAACAAAAAAAGTCATTTTCTCCGCTGAGCATGGTGGCTTACATCTGTAATCCCAGCTCTTGCAGGAGGCAGAGATTGGCAGGATTACAGTTTGAGGCTAGTCTGGGCAAAATGTTAACAAGACCCCATCTCAACTAATAAGCCAGGCACTGGTGGTACACGCATGTCATTTCAGGTACTGAGAGACAAAGATAGGAGGACTGAAGTCCAAGGTTACCCTAGGCAAAAACACGAGACCCTATCTGAAAAATAACCTAAAAAGCAAAAAGCTGGAGGAGTGGCTCAAGTGGTAGAACGCTTGCCTAATAAGCCAAGGCCCTGAGTTCAGATACCAGTATCACCACCAAGGGTAAAAGAAAAAAAAAAGAGTAGATTTCTGTGTTGTTCAAACTTTTAAAGTTTTTATTTATTTATTTATTTTAAATAATAATAAAAGTGAACTCTAAATGACCAGGAGAACACTCAGGATGGGCTGGTCAGATGCCCTGGAGTTACCTGGTTGTTGACGACCACGTGGACAGTGCCGTGGGTAGTGTAGGATGGCAGGTCGCTGAGGTGGAAGGTCTCGTACACGATACCCTGGCCAGCAAAGGCAGCATCCCCGTGCAGGAGGATGGACATCACCTGCAAAGGAAGCCCAAGCTCCAGCACATCCTGACCAACACGTGATTTTTGAAAGACCCCAGCCTTCTCTGGTCCCTGACTGGGTCCACTCACCCCACTACCCTACCATCAACCAATACCTGTCATCCCTCAGTGCCCAAGGGGACGTACTCCCACATAACACTAAACCCTCCCATCCAGGAGACCAACACCGGCCTCGCCTGCCCACCTTAGGACAATGAGCATGGACAGCTCCAATCTGGAGTGGCACTTGCACTGGGTGGGCTGGCTTTGGGCAGTAGGCAGGTCGCCACATGCCACTGTCCTTTAACTCACCATCTTCTTGGCAGTGTGTGCACTGGTGGCATCTTACGGGGAGGAGCCACAACCCTTCCCGCACTCCAGTTCAGCCCAGCCCAGCAGCATCCTCCACTCCATCTGAGCCAGCAAATTGGGGGGCTAATGGATGGAGCCCACTGAGTTCCATCACCCCTGCATGTACCAGGTGACGTTCTCCCTGGCTTGTTCACTTGTACTAACATATGCTGGTGGTCCCCATCATGCTTCTCTGACATTCCAGTTGTCCCTGCTGGCTCTGTAGTGCCCCAGTGCCTCTCATTTTCTGGTACAATGGCACTGCAGCCTCCCTTCTGCTGTCCCTGCCTGGTTTTGGTTTCTCCAGTAGAGGATGGGATTTAGGACCAACATCTGTGTGCTCACTGCTGCTAGAATGTATCATTGCTTGGTCTATGAGCATAGATCTGGAAACTCCATGGGTGTGTATGCACACGCATGCCCAGGGTGTTTCTAGGTGTATGTGTATGTAAAGTAGTACTGAGTTCATACCAATACCTCCAAATTGCAATGCAACACTTTTCTAAGCTGTCTCCTTCTACACCCATCTCCTGCAGTGGCCAGGTGGCATTTACGTATTTGCTCAGTTCCTAGTGAGCCTCCTCCTTGGATACACAGCATGTGCCTTTCAAACCATATATACTAGTCAGGGTTCTCCAGAGAAAGTTACTGGGCAGGGGCAGGCCAGGATACAGAGCCAGAGAGGAGCTGAGTCTGATGGCCACTCAGTGGCAGAACCTTTATCTCAGGGGACCTCAAGTCTTTTCTCAAAGGCCTTGAACTAAGCAGATGCAGCCCAGGCACACGGGGGAAGATCACCTGCCTCACACAAAGCCTGCTGATTTAAACATGGATCCCATTTAAAAATGCCTTTACAGAAACATGAAGATGGCCTTCTGGCCAGCAATGTGCCCAGCAAGCCACTGCCCACGCCCAGCAAGCCATTGCCCATGCCCAGCAAGCCACTGCCCTTGCCCTTTCATGGTCTGTGGGCCTGCTGAGTACACATCCTGGTCTTCACCTCTGTGCTAGTTCTCCTTGCTAGGAAGAGAAAGTCCATGATTTGCTTTCTAAGGACAAAGACTAGAATCTTAAAAAAAAAAAAAAAGAATAGCAAGCATCCTGCCTTTTGGTGGAAGTAGAGGATGTTCACCAGACAATAGGGACACAGCATTTGGTTGACTCAGGGGACCCCTCAGGGGGAGTGCAGCTTTGCCACCATGCCCAGATCATTGCTTTGTTGAGAGTAAAAGTGGCTGACAGTCCATCTCCATTTGATCACCATTTCTCATGCACAGCCTCAGGCTTCTGCCCAAGGGGACAGCTGAGGTCAGTCTCCTTCTTGTAATATTATACTGTGCAGCAGCAACCAGCTATTGAAATCATCCCCAGCACAGGCAGGGGCTCCCCCTGGGTCTGAGGCCTGACCCATATCTCTGGCAGGGACAGGTTCTCTCTTCAAATGAGTTGGGTTACAGCACTGCACTGAGGAAACACATCCATGAACATGCATCCCAAAGGCCACATTAGCAATGAGTCAAATCAGTGAGTTTCGCAATCACCTACAAGGTTATGGGCCAACCTCAACCCATTTACACAAAGTATGCAGTTTTCCTCCAGCACTGGGGATTATGTAACACACACCACTTTCCTAAGTTCTGGATTTAGCAGAAATCTAGTCATTCCCTAGTGTTGTCAGAATGGTATCAAGAAAAGGCAGGAGTCTGGCTGAACCTTCTGCTGATCCTGTTGAGGTCATAAGAAGGCTTGGGGCAAGATGAGGAGGGGGCAGCTGTCTGCACTGGGGCCAGGAAAAACACAATACAGTGCATGTGGACAGTACCACTTCCTAAAACACAGGGCTGTGTGTTTTATGTTTCACACTTGACTACCTGTAAATATGCAGCTGAACAGGGGCTGCCTTTATTCTGACATCTTATAAAAGGATGAATTAGTGCTGGCCAATTCACCATTGTTTCTGAGACCTTTGCTCCTTTTCAGGACCCTGCCAGCATTCTAAGCAAGGATTGCTTGAGTGGTTTTTTGTTCATATTTCTGAATGCTTTCCACAACCCCATCTCACTACTAAGCACCAAATGCCTGAGCAAGCATGCTGGCCGAAGTCAGGGGAACACCAGAGGCACTGGCCACCCCAATTTCTCCTGGGACCAGCACATCCCAGGCTCCTGGGTTCTAAGTGGACATGGAGGCTGCATGTCTCCCAACAAAGCTGAGGCCTCTCTATGTTTACTTAAGAGTTCCTATGGCACCATTCCAGCCCTTGAGCTCAAGGCTGTAACTCTGTGTCCTCTTGTGTTCCTGCAAGCTGCCTCAGTCCAGCTCTACTGCCTTCTAAGCCTCCAAGCAGGACACCAGCAGATTTATAGTATTTTATGTTGCAGAACCCAGTATATTAATCATGGGTTCCACTCGACCAAAGATATGCCCTCCCTCCAGGGTGTTCTAGGATGCTGGCCTTGGGCAGCTCCAGCATACCCTCCAACTCTGGCATTCCATCTCCACCTATCCACATATTGACATTTGTTCAATTAAATAGGACAACTGTCTGCCCTGTGAACTGCCTTGTGCTCCTCGAGCTCATGGTCCGGATGCCTCTTCTGAAGTTCACTCTGGTGCACTATTCTGTGAGCTTCCTGACATGTGGTTTAGTCTCTAAGCACAAGAACTCCTTGCGAGCAGGCTGGTGTGCCTGCTCCCGATATTGCCCAGAAGGCCTACGGTAGATATCACGTGGTTCATTTTTCTTATTTGGTCTTCAGGTCTTCAGGTAGGAAGAGATATGCTCTCCAATACAGAGAGCATTCTATCCTGAGGTGAACAAGGGCAAATGGCTACAAATGAGGGTTTCTATACACCAATTATTCAGCCTTCACTGTTACATACAGGAAATGCTGCCGCAGTACCTCTCCCGTATTCCCCTGCTCACCAGGGCACTTTTTCCTGACATCTGTTAGTCCTACACCTTCTCCTTCAAGGTCACCCCACTTTCCTTGCAAAGCCTCTTGTCTTTTTCAGTGAAGAGGTCTCTGTCCATCAATGGTACCTAAGATGGGCTCCTCCACTGACATGGTGATGCACAAGCCAACTCCCTACCACTCTGGAAGAGTTCAATCTGGAACAGTGCATCTCTGTGAGTGGGACTGCTTTACTATTGACCTTTTAAAGTTGGCTTACAGTATTTTTAAACTCCAGAAATATGACGTCTGTGTCATGCCCAGAGCTTTGAGCATAGGAGAGAGCAGCGGAGAGCACTGGCTCTGTCAGAGACTTCCCTGGGTGCCTCACCTTTTTCCCTTCAGTGTCTCCACAGTAGAACTGCTCGGCTTTGGTCTTGCCCATCACCACAGGGTCAGCAGCCTCCAGGTGGGAAGGGTTTGCCACCAGGGACAGAGTGATGTTCCTGTCAGTCACACGGTTGATCCTGCGGTGATACATACCCAGGTGGTACTTCATGTCTCCGGAGCCCTGATGGTGCAAATAATGAATGTGACACTGGCTGGGAGACACCGGCTCGCTCTCCATGACAGCCCTTTAGATGGAATTTCTACTTCAGTATCCCACTGTGGGAAGATGGAGCAGTCTTTTCCCAAGATCATCCCACCCAGGCACAAGGAGACAGGGTCGTCAAGCAGAGGGATGTCCTTGCCCCTAGCAGGAGGAATGAGGTTAGCCAAGTCCAGTGAGAAAGGCAGACTGAAGTGGAAGAGCCATGCCTCTGCTGAAACGCTCTGAGGAAGCAGTGTGCCAGGAGGTCTTGTGTGGGCTCAGGCGACCATGCTGATATGTCTCCATCTGGGCCTCACCTCATCAGCTGCCTCCAGCTTTGAATCAAACTGACAGAAAATCTGTTCTAGCTCCTTCCTGATGACATTCGCGAGCACATTCAACCGTCCCCTGGGAGGACACAAGGCAGTGTGAGCAGATCCCCAAGACATGGCACCTCCTTAGTTTGCAGCCCAAGAATAACTATGACCCAGAATCAATGCAGTCACCAAGTGGGTGGGAGAGGGGAAGCGCATCAGATGGCAACTTTCCTCTAAGAGAGACCCAAAAAGGGGGCTTCTTTATTTATTAATTTTTGGGACAAGGTCTTACTATGTAGCTGAGCCTAGGGCTGGCCTTGAACTCCATGGTCCTCCTGCCTCAGCCTCTGTAGTGCTGGGATTATGGGTGTGTCCCCAGCTGGGGTTTGATTTTTATAAAATTCAGTATAAAGCTAAACACCAGTCTGAACCACATGTGGCCTTGGCTGTGAGAGTGACTCTGTAGTCATCCTGGCATACGGATATAAGAATCCAGGAAAACAAGACACCCTCACACCCCTAGTGAGCCCTCAGCACTCTGGCCCTACAAGAGGAAGCAGCAGCTGCTCACAGAGTGCCTTGCCCCTCCCTGACCCCGCCATGCTTCAGTCCCATGGGGGCTGGCACAGGTCACCGAACCCCCTCCCCCACACCCCCACTCCACTTCAGGACAATGGGGCCTGGCACAGGTCACTGAACCCCTCCTCTCAATGCACCATGGGACCTTGCACAGGTCACTGAAACTGCCCCCCCCCCGCCCCCAGCACCAAGAGGCCTGGCACAAGTCACTGAGGAGTCCTGTGTCTACTTCCCCTCCCCTCAGTTCTCAGCATCACGGGGCCTGGCATGGGTCACTGAACCCCTATCCCCTGCACCACGGGGCCTCCTGGCAGCACCTGTGCGGCATCCCCATGATCACGTAATCCACTCCATTCTCACTCGACTTGTCGATGATGGTCTTGAGGGCAGGAATCAGCACCTCGCAGCCTTCCAGACCAAAGCGCTTCTCAGAGGACCACTTCCGCTGCAGGAAGTCCTCAAACCTGGACAGGGAACCAAGGACCTTAAAGAGCATGTCCCAGGGACAGTCCCAACATCACATTTTCCTAAATGACAAGAGGGTATTTCAAAGGCCTATTTTCCCTGCCTGGCTATCTTTTTGTATTTACATAGCTGTGGCCAACCCCATGCCCGTCCACCCTGGCAGACAGGCCACACACAGGCCCATAGCCACGATGAGCCACAGGAGCCTATGCTCCATAGCCCCAACCAGACTATACCTGGTGGACCGCACGAGCCTGGCCAGCAGGGTCCGCTTCTCCTCGTTGGTGAACTGCATGATCCCAGGGGTCTCAAACTTCTGCCGGATCCACTGGCACTGCTCCAAGTCATTAATGAACATGAACTCTACTCCAATGTGCTGACAGTAGGCCATCTGTCCCCCACAACACAAGAAGACACACAGGTCAATGATGAATGTGAACTGCACCCCAATGTGCTGGCAAAAGGCCATCTGTTTCTGCTCCCCTTACCCCCCCAGGCAAGGGCATGTCTAACTGGGCCTGGTTAAATGAATACTGCCAGCTGACCATTTAGCCAGAAGGCTAGGGAGACTGAGAAAGCAGAGGGTGCGTGGGTGCCAGGCCAAGACCCTCACTGGCCATGGAGTGCTTCCTAAGACCTGGTTACTGCACACAGAGCTCTCCCAGGCCTTCCAGGGTTCAAGCCAATGAACACCCAGTCTACTTCTTTATCTTCATGACAGGTATCAGTCATAGGATATCGGGTGCCTCCCTAGGAAAGTCAGGTTGTCCTCACTGTCAGATTGTGCCCACATTCTCAATTAAACATTTAGACTTAAATTTTTTTTTTTTTTTTGGTGGTACTGGGTTGGGTCTTAAACCTAAGGCTTTGCACCCACTTGAGCCACACTCCCAGTCCTTTTGTTTTAGTTTATTTTTTCAGATAGGGTCTTGTACTTTTGCCCAGGCAGGCCTGACACCCCATTCCTCCACCTCCTAAGTAGCTGGGATTACAGATGTTTGCCACACCTGGATTAACTTTTATTTTGTAATAACTGACTCCTCTGGGAAACTTCAGGTCTGAAGAAGCATATAATAGCTTTCATGACAAGAGACAGGTCTGGAACAGACCACACACACCCCAAACCACATCCATTTGCCATAGTGTAGGACAGGAGACAGCAGCCAGCTCTGTACTGGGGGAGTCCAGGGGATAGCAGGGCTCTCAGGGAGAGGAGATTAGGAAGAGAAGAGAAAGAGTCCATAAATTAGAAGAGCTCCAGGAGCTCTTGGAAATCCATCTTGGGGCTGCCCAAGTGCAGTGCTTCTGCAGAGTCCCAGGGCCCTGGATGAACCTTTGACTTTTTCCATCTTTGACAGTGCTTGGAGGTCCAGAACACAGGTGTGTAACCAAACCCTGGGCAGCATTGTAGTAGCAAAGAAAACAGACCCTGATGCGGCCAACAGAGACTTTACACACATCCTGCCCCCCACCATCTTCAAATAGTCCTGGAGGCCCAGCGGCTCCCTTCCATGGTTCCATTTGGTTTTCACAACAGACAAGGAAGTTGGCATAGGCAATTAAAGTGCTTGCCAGATTGGCGGTCAGGTGCCTGTTCTGTGCACAGTGGAGGTGAGCACACTATGCCTGAACATACAAGTGAGGCTACCCACAATACTCTAGTCTTCCTGTCAAAAGAAGGAAATGTTGCTGGGAAAGACTCTGGTATTTAAGGTGTTTAGACTAATCCCAAACCATATTTCCTAATGACCTAAGATGGTAAGACGGGAACCTCTAAATTGGATTAGCCCCTGTCCCTAATCTCAGGGCTGTCATCAGTCCACGTTATGTCTCTCTTTATGAGACATGTGGGGACCCAACCTGCTGCCCAGGAGAACAGAGTATACCTCTGTAGAAACTAGCCCCAGAGGTGATTAACGATCAGCTCACAGAGGCCCCGTCTCCCAAGGTCCATGTGAGGCCTGCACGAACTGTACACCCAGCAAGTGGCTCCCTACCCCACTCCTCATCATCCCTGTCACAGCCTGCCTGGAGGGGTGCTGGGAGGACAGACTCTTCCCTTGGTCACTACTTTGTCCACCCTCACATAGGAGGCAGAGCCATGCTGGAGGCACTGCTGAAGACTGCTTTCTCCCTTTAAGCCCAATGGCTATCATCTCCATTACACCTCTAAGTTTCACTGTTTCTGAGTTAAATGGTAAAACACTACAGAAATCAGTTTCTCCAGTATTATCAGCATTACTTTAAGTCATCAACGTGGCAGTGTGCTTGGAAAGCTGGACAGTAGATCATAGTTTTTTGGTTTCCCCCCACACCCATCCCAGTCCTTGGCTCCTTGCCCTAGAGAAAAGGGCAGCAAGTTTTGGGAGGCAACTCTTAGGTTTCATTCTCTAACGTGACAATTCTTAACACTTCCTCTGACTTAAGAACTGCAAGATGACCACTGTATGTGACCTGTGACCAACAGCTTAACTCTGACTGATTATGCCAAAACCTAACACACACATAGCTAGGCCTTCTGGGGTCCAGGCCCAACTGCTCCAGACAGAAAGAGCCTAACACCAGGGCTCTGGCATCAGCTGTGCAGAAAGGGAGGCAGCCCCAGAACATGTGTGGGCTGTCGGTTTCACACTACAAAATCAGGGCTATTTGGGACTCAGGATTCAGTGTGAGCAACCTGCCAATTCTGTTCCATGGGAAGGAAGAAACTGATGGCCCTTGGGAGGAAAAGAGGACAGTGCAGTTTGTGACCCCAGGGCACCTTTCCAATCTGAGAACGTGCTTAGGGAGGAGCTGTTGGGCTCCTCTCTGAGAATCCTGGGACATGAAGGGGGTTCTAGGTAGACAGTTTCCACCTGACTACTGTCCTAACAGGGCATGAAAGACACTGGGGAATGGGGCAGAGCACACAGGAGCCAAGCCACTAGAAGGGGACTGGTTTCTAGGGTCTAGATCTCCATCAATGGGTCCAGGCCACAGGAAAACTTCCAGATCAGCAATAGCTAATAGAAACATAATATGAGTCACATACAATTCAATAATAAGCTTAGTAAGTCAAGTTTTCCTAACAGAAACAGATGAGATGGATTTCCCTATTTGTTTTTTAATTTTTATTTTTGAGTTATCATACATTAATAACACGAGGGGATTTAATTGTGCTAATTCCATTTCCTTGTTTATTTGACCCAATACAGCCAACACTTGAAGAGTGATGTGGGCATTTCACACATTTCAGGTGCTTGATAGCTACAGGGGGCTTACGGGTCCTGTGGGGTGACAGTATGCAGGACATGGGATGCACAGCTGACCCTCTCTGACTAATCCTCCCTACTCCCCCCTACTGACCACCCCCTCATAATGCTGGCACTCACATGCAGTTCCCACACCTTTCCCTCCCACAAGTCCAGAAGTACGGGAGACAGGAGGAAGGCAGATCCAAGCTGAAATGCTAATGAGGTTGTAAATGCTTGTCACAAGCCACACAAAGTGCCAGTGACACTCAGGTCTTCAGCACCACTCTTGTGGCCAACTATGGAACCAATGGCAGAAGAGTAACTCACCAGAGCAGAGGTAAATCAATGGGGTTGTGGGAGGATGCTGATGTAGGGGACCAGAGCACTCCCAGGGAGCCCTGCTTGCCAGTATGGATCAACCTGGGCTTGTTAAGAACATCAGGGGCCACTGATGGCTCTGAATGCCATGGACAGCCGTAAGTAAGACCAACAGCTAACATCAGATGCCTTGGAATGGGTGCTGCAGTCACCTCACAGAGAAAAAGGACCAATGAATGACACGCCCAGAAGGAAGAACAGGACCCAGGCAGCCTGGCACCAAAGCCAGATTCTCAGCCACTGTGTCTAACACATGTGAAGGAGTGCCCTGGCAGGCTGAGTGATAATGAAGTCCAGAGAGGAGGAAAAGAACAAAGCAGAGGGATGGATGAGCAGCATGGGGGAGAGGAGAGAGTAAGTGCTGCCCTGTAGTGCAGTTGAGGCATGTGCCCAGGGAGCCTCACATAGCTGAAACAAACTCCAATAGGGATGTCAAAACAGAGACTACTTTTCCTCTATGTCTAATTTTAAAATACATAGGTTTCTATTTATAAAATACCAAAAAAAAAAGTTGTCTTTCCTTTACATTTAAAAATACAGGACTGAGAAACAAACAAGCTTTCATCTCAAAGGCTATCTCGACAGTGTAGGTTTGGAGCAAGTCCATTAGACTTCTCTAGAAATCACGTCCCGGTCTTACCTCTAGACGCCGGATGATCTCCCGCAAAGGAAGCGCAGATTCAGGGCCCCCAATGAAGGTGGTGGTGGGCAAGTGGAAGACCTTGTCAAGGTCGGACTCGTCCAGTCCATAGAACCCTGCAGGCAGGCGATGGAGGGCGGGCACAGCCAGTGGGAGCCACAATTTGCAGGAAGGGGAAGCAAGGAATGCCCCAGGGAGCAAAAAAGAGAAGAACAAAATCATATGAAAACAAGTAGTACTTACAGCCAGAAACAGAAACTTCAGCGTAAATGGGAGCTGAGACTACTTTAGGGTGACACAGGCAAACCAGAACAAAAACTGCTGTGCATGTGTTAGTCCAGTGCACCAATTACTTAGAATTTAGACTCAAATTTATTTCAAGTTCCCCAAAATAAATAAAAACCAATTTTGGAGGTAGGAAGAGAGGGCCATGAGAAGGTATTTTGTAAGTCAATCAAAAAGCAAATAGAATTAAAAGAAGAGAATTAGAGTAGGACGTGAGGAACTGATAGAGAAGAGCAGATCATACGTGGTCAGTTAACAGTCATACGTGTGTGTGTGTGTGTGTGTGTGTGTGTGTGTGTGTGTGTGTGTGTGTGTGTGTGTGTGTAGCGATGACAAAGGCGAGGGACTCAGCCGTGAGGGTGAAGCCTCACCAGGACCCAGTGGTCTGGGGAGGACCGCCCGGCAGCTTTAGGCTCAGTCAGGCTGCTTTCTCTGGAACTGCCAAACGGCACATTCTGAACACACTGAGCAGACAGTCCTCATCACTGCATCATCTCTAACCCCTCATTCCGGCAATCATCAGTGATAGTCACTCATGCCCCATGTCCTCGCTGTAGGAAGAGGCCTGCATCACCTCAAGATTTTTATTAAAGGAGAAAACTGTCAAGTGGCCCCACAGGCCCTACTTCCAGTTTGCACCTGTTCTGAAGCCATCTGTCAACTCAGGCAGGCAAAGTGTAAGAGTTGCTAGCACTTCACTACCTTCTCAGACTCTTAGGGGACCTGTCAACAGCACTCTGCAGAGTCACTGACATCTGGACTACACTAGGTGAAACACGCTCATGGTTTCCTGCTCATGGTTTCCTGCCCGAGGTAAGTGTAAGAAAGACACACTGTGAGACAGCATCAGGCATGGCATAATGCAGTAGTTTGCAAACAAAGATGTGGACTTGCATCTCTGGGGAGATCATCAGCAAGCATGCTTCTAGTCTCTAAGCATAATATGGGTCTGGCTAGCCCATGCCAACCAAGGGTGACCTAGGAATCTCCCCATGTGACTCTTATTCAAGCCACGTCTGGGAAATACATCTGCTATACAGTGCTTTAGGACATTTTTAAATCTTAAAAGCAAACTATGTTTTTCAAGCCCTTTTTAATTTATAAAACAAAACCAAATTTGACTTATTATTACCCTGGGGATGGGGACAGCAGAAGTAGCTGACTTACGTGTACCCATTTGCTTCTAGTGCTCTATCAACAATGAGGGTTGGCAGAGTGGCCCAAGTGGTACATTGCCAGCCTACCAAGCACGAGGCCCCAAGTTCAAACCCCAGTACCATCAAAAGACAACAAAAAAAACCCCAGCAGTCCTTAGGCCTAGTTGAAGCACACAGCTCTCTCTTCATTTATAGCCCAGCTTGCAGGCAAGAGAATCACGGGGTTTGTGGAAGAATAACAAAATCACTGAGAAACTTTCCCTAGCTGGTGAAAACACTCCGGCCAGGGGCAGATCAGGGGAGCAGAGTATCAAAGTGGTGCGCAATTTTGCTGTGAAAAATTTGGACTGAGGTTAAGGAGTCAAGTATATGCCACAGAGGAGAACTGTGCTGCTACATCTTCTCAGGCAGAAGAGGCAGTCAAGTAGGCCTCAGCATGTGATGGTGCTTCCCATCTAAAACCCTGAGCTCAGGTCCCTGGCTAACACTACTGAGGCTCAGAACTGCTGGCCCCATTCCTAGCTCTTCAGGGATGTGATGTTTGCTTTGGGAAGGTGGTGGAGACATACTTATGTCTATTCCCCTAAGTGCAACTAAAATCTAGATGTTAAATGCAGAACAAACAAAAAAGATAATCCCCATGAAGGTGGAAAGAAAGAAAAACTGCAAGGGAGGACCCTGGGTTTCCTTCTGCTCCAATATCCTAGACCTGAAGCAGAAGAGCCACAGCTTAGGAATTCTGGGAGGTGCAGATTACAAACATGCCACAAGAGCTGCTCTCTCTTCAAAGGATCAGGAGGGTGGCAGTGTAGCGAGACAGAAAACGTTTAGACAGTTACTGCTTATGTCAGCCAAAACCCACAAATGCAATGCAGCCCACTGCTTTTCACCAGGATGCTATACATGCACCCATCTACCCACACATGGAGGTTTTTTGGAACAAGGTAGTGCCCTCCTCCTGCCCACCAGAGTAGTGTTTGGAGTAAGCTTGTTATAACCAAAGATTTAAATAAGATCCTGATGTTCACAACACCCAAAATGTCATTATTAAAAAACAAAACAAATCACTCAAGCTGGGTGTGGTGGTGCAGGCCTCTAATCACAGCACTTGGGAGTCTGAGGCAGGAGGATTTTGAATTCGAGGCCAGTCTGGGCTACATAGTAAGATCATGTCACAAAAAACCCCAAAATTCCAAAAACAACAACGAACAAAGAAAGCACTCAAAAACCATTACTTATCAATAGATATAGAATTTTTAAATGTGGACATAAAAATCCGTAGGACAGGAAATAAAAGCAAGGAAATGAAAAGAACCACGACATCTCAAGCTGAGTAACAATTGACCATCAAACGGAAGGCAACATACTGAAAACACAGAAGATTTTTTTTTGTTTTTTGGCAGCACTGACGTTTGAACTCAGGGCAGGAGCTCTTACTGCTTGAGCCACTCCTTTAGCAGAATCACCTAAGATTTTAATGGAGCCATGGTAAAATTATTTCCGTGAGCAATTATAAATTACAGAAAATACTACCAAATCTCAGGAAAAACTGAAGACAGAGGGACCAAATGGAAATTAAAAACAAAAACTCACTAGATGGGCTTAGTGGCAGAATGGAGGGTAAAGAACCAGTGAATTTGAAGATTTAAGAACAGAAAGCAGCCAACTGGAGGGAAAAAGAAAACAAAATGAACGGAGCCTTGGGGACACGACACCATAAAAAATTCCACATGAATGTGGATCAAATTCCAGAAGCAAAAGAAAAAGAGGTGCTAAAAAGGTACTTAGAAAATGATGGCTGAACACTTCCCAGACACAACGAAAGACTGAGTGAATCCACAGAGTAAGTTCAAAAACATCCATGCCAACCTGTATCATAAACTTCTGAAAATTAAAACAGGAAAATGTTGAAAGCGGCCATGGTTAACAGATATCTTACCCACGGGGGGAACAAAAAAGATTCTCGTGACGGGACTTCCCATAGCAAACAGTGGACTTTTCATTAGCTGGGGAAGGGGATCTATCCGACAGAGCTCTATGTCCCAAATACTGTGTAGGAATGAAGGGGATCCAGTCTCAAAAAAGGAAACTGAGAACCTGCCATAGCAGACCTGCTCTAAAAGAATGCAGAGAAAATTCTTTAGACAGAAGGGAAAAAAGACAAAAGACTTCAGTGGGCCTGGGAGTTGCTCAAGTGGCAAAGTGCCCGCTTAGTAAGTACAAGGCCCTGAGTTCAAACCCCAGCACCAAAAAAAAAAAAGAAAAAGAACACAAAAAGGAAAAATGGAAGTGAATACAACAGATGCTCTTTGGGTCTGCTAAATTGTGTTTGGTGATTAAAGCAGACATAACACTGTCTGCTATAGTTCTAAAGGCATGGAGAGAAAATATTTAAGACAATTCTATTATAGAGGGAAATGGAGAGATAAAATAGGAGGCAAAGCTTCTACGCTTAACTTGAACTGGTAAAAATGATGACACTGGTAGACAGATATATAATACCTAGAACTAAAAAAGCTATGCAGAGAGATATACTCAAAAACATTACCTATAAAAGAAGTGGAAATTTAAAACATGGGTATAAAAATACATAGGACAGGAAATAAAAGGAAAGAAATAAGAAACAGAACAAACAGAAAGCAAATAATAAAATGACAATTTATACTTTAAGATATCAAGTTACATTAAATATAAATTATCTAAATACAGTAAATTAAAACACAAAACCCCACCAAAAAACAGGACCCAACTATATGCTTTTGTGTAAGAATCTCACCTAAATATGATATGGAAAAGCAGAAAATGCCAAGGGTGGGAAAATATATAGACATTCATGAAATGAAAGCAGGGAGGGCTGGAGGAGTGGCTCAAGAGGTAGAACGCCTGCCTAGCAAGTACTAGTACTTCAAATCCCAGTACTGCCAAAAACAAAAACAAAAACAAAAAAATTGGGGGGGTGGGGAGAAGCACTAGAGGGAGAGCCCATGCTTAGCAAGTGTGAGGCCCTGAATTCAGCCCTCAAGTTCAACCCAACTTGGTCAATGATAGTGAGTGAATAAATTTAAACTAGACATAATAAAAAGCTGGGCATATTACTATCAGAAAAAAGGAGATTTCAGAGTAGTAAGAAGATCAATTTGCTGAAAAGACATAGCAATCCTACATGTGCATGTACCAAGTTAGAGAGTTACAAAATCCATCATAGGACTGACCATGTCTGCAGTCAAAGAATTCAATGCCCGTCTCTCTAGACAGAAAACTGGTACAGATACAAGAGAGCTCAACAACCATCAAACGACAAAAATCTAACTGGCACCAACACGTGAACCTAAGTATCATTGCCTTGAAATCTGATAAATACTCAGCCCTATATGGTGCTTTTCAAGTGGCCATAGGACATATGCCAGAATAGATGACATACTGAGCCATTAAAACAAAACAAAACACACACTCAACAAATCTCATAAAACTGAAAGCACACATTCTTCAACCACAATGAAATCAATCTACACATCATCCATAGAAAGGTAAGAGCAAATTCTCCAAACACTTGGATACTATACAACACCTTTCTAAAGAACCACAGGGTTAATCAAGGGTAGAAAAAATACAGTGAACTTAGGGAAAATACAACATATTAAAGTTTGTGGGGTAGCTAAAGCTGTACTGAGAGGGAAATGTATAGCAGCCAGTACACACATCAAAAGAGAAGAAATCTTTAATCAACAATCTAAGCTCTTATCTATCTCCCAAGGACGAGAAGAGGGAAAAAGCAAACAGAGAAAACCAATAAGCAGAAGTAAGGAACTAACAAAGAGCAGACCCAATGAAATGAAAAAGAGCAAACAAGTAAGAAAACTCAGTGGAACAAAGAGCCAGTAACACTGACAAGCCCACTGCAAGACTGACAAACACTAACATAGAGAATGAAGCCTTTCAGGTATAAAAAGATAAAAAGGGCACTATGAACAACTCTGTTGACAATGGACAACTTAGATGAAAGGAACCATTTGAACACAAACTACCATTACCAACCCAGTAGGAAATAGGTAATTTCAGCAGCCCTATGGCTAACTAAGGAAGTCTAAGTCATAAATAAAAAATTCCTGAAGACCAAGTGCAGTAGCTCACGGTTCCAGGCCAGTTAGGGCAAAAAGTTCACAAGACCCCATCTCAACCTATGGCTGGGTGTGGTGGCGCATACCAGCTACATGGCAAACGTAAGTAAGAGGATCATGGTCCAGGACAGTCTGGGCATAAATGTGAGGCCCTATTTGTAAAATACGTAAAGCAAAAAGGGCTGGAATGTGGCTCAACTGGTAGAGCGCCTGCCCAGCAGCTGCTCTGAGTTCAAACCCCAGTACCACCAAAAAAAAAAAGAAAAAAAAAAAAGTTTCCTGAATTTTACTGGAAAATTCTACAAAATATTTAAAGAATTAACACCAATTCAATAAAATCTTTTACAGAAACCAAGAGGAATTTCAACTTTCCCTAAATGAGTCTGTAAGTTTAACACAATTCCTATCAAAATACAAGAAAAATTTTATGTAGACATAGACACATATCCTAAAATTTATATGAAAGAGAAAGGCCCAAAAATAGCCAAAACAACTGTGGAAATGGAAAATAAGGCTCAGTAGATACAGTAATTAAGACATGTGAAAGGACAGACACTTGACTCACAGAAAATAGAAAACTCCAAGTGGATCCACACAAACAAGTCTTTTTTTTTTTTTTAACTTTTTTTTTCTTTTATTATTCATATGTGCATACAAGGCTTGGGTCATTTCTCCCCCCTGCCCCCACCCCCTCCCTTACCACCCACTCCGCCCCCTCCCTCTGCCCCCCACCCCCTCAATACCCAGCAGATACTATTTTGCCCTTATTTCTAATTTTGTTGTAGAGAGAGTATAAGCAATAATAGGAAGAAACAAGGGTTATTGCTGGTTGAGATAAGGATAGCTATACAGGGCATTGACTCACATTGATTTCCTGTGCGTGGGTGTTACCTTCTAGGTTAATTCTTTTTGATCTCACCTTTTCTCTAGTACCTGTTCCCCTTTTCCTATTGGCCTCAGTTGCTTTAAGGTATCTACTTTAGTTTCTCTGCGTTAAGGGCAACAAATGCTAGCTAGTTTTTTAGGTGTCTTACCTATCCTCGCCCCTCCCTTGCCACACAAACAAGTCTTAATGACTTTGACAAAGGCGTAAAAGCGATTCAACCAAGGACAATCTTTTTAGCTAATGATGCAGGGCAATTACGGCTTCTCTAGCAAAAATAAAAAATAAACAAAGTGTGATCTAAATTTTCTCTCACACAGAAGTGAACTCAAAATGGATGATGACTTAAATGTGTAAGAACAACAATAAAACTTCAGAAAATATGTAGGAGAAAATCTTGGGATCTAAGTCCAAGGAGTTAAGACTTGACGATAAAAGCATAAGACCTTGACAACATGGCTTCTCCTCTGGAATAAAATTGTGATGTTTAACAGACATCCTTGCAGTTTAAGATGACACTTTTAAAATAAAATTCTCTTCCTAATGATGACTTGCGCCCTGCCACTCTATGGGACAATCAGCAGAACCTGTAGGATCTCATTCGGAATTGACATTCTCTATTGTAATTTTGTTTATTTATTTTTAAATTTTCTTTTTTTGTTTTCACTGGAAAGGAAAAGATGCTCAGTTTTAAACGTTAAAAGTGTACAAGTTTTTTTGTTACAATAAAACTGTGTTAAAAAAAAAAAAAGAAAAGAAAGCGTAAGAACTAAGAGGAAAACTGCTAGGCTAGATGTCATCAAAATTAAACATTTCTGCTCTGTCAAAGACCCTATTAGCCAGCCAAAGAATGGAAACAGCCCAGAGGTGCCTCATCAGGCAAACGCTTAAGACAACTGCAGGACATCACACCTCACAATGCTACTCATCAACAAAAAGGAACGAACCAGTGGTACAACATACCAACAGCCTGCATACATTTCTAGAAAACTAAGCTGACTAAAAAAAGCCAATCCTTAAAGGATCCATTTGCAGAACACTCCTGAAATGATGCCATTACAGAAGTGGAGAACATGACAGTGGTTGCCAGGATAAGCATGATAGTGGTGGAGGGAGGGGATCCTGGTGAGCTGTGCTGCAGCTTCACAGGCCTGCATCACTGGGCACATTGGCTAAAGGATGTGAGGGCACTCTGCTTCTTACAACTGCATATGAATCTATAATTGTCTTAAAATACAAACTTTAAATAGCAGACTCTCACAGATACTATGAGGAAGACAGAGGAAGAAGTGTCTTAAGAGATGCCTGGAGGGGAAGAAACTGGCAGGCAAGGGGCCAGGGGAGATGGCAGGCAAGCATACCAGCACCTCCATTCTGGATTCCTCAAGAGGGTTCTTCTCAGAACTGAGGGTCACGAAGGGCTCCCAGAAAGCTCTTAAGCCCAGCAAGCAGAATCTGAAAGAATCCAGAGTCGAGCCAATGCCACAGCGCAGAGTGCAGGGCCAGGACAAGTCACCATGCAACTGATGTGTGGCTCTGGCGGACAATGAAGGCAAATGACGCTGGAAGATGCAAGTGTGCAGCAAAGCTGTGGTGAAGCAACATGGAAATAGATGAAAAAGCGTGCTTCACAACAGAAATGGACAGGAATGAAATGACCCCAGCCGTGAGCTCTACATGTTGGTTAGTAAGTAAATGAAGGGAAAACATACTTCAAAAGAGTCATCAAACTTTCAAAACACTCGAGAAGTCACATCAACTTTCCTCAAAACGCATGCTTGGAAAAGTTGCACATCCTATTTAAATGAAGTCCTCAAGGCTGGAAAGGTGAAAAGCTTGTTATTTTCATACCTCCTACTGTTAGCATTCGAAGTCGTTCCTTGAAAACTGCAAGATCTGACAGGCAGAGTGGGGTAGCATGGACAAGCGCAGGAGGAAAAAGACAGGTGAGAGTTAGTTTTAAACCCAAACACCAAAACCCTACACCATCACCAAAGTAAACAGGTAGCAGACACTGTTACAGGGACACACACTGAGGAGACAATGAGGGTAGGTCATGAGGTCAGGGGTAAACATGGGACCTGTCCATAGAACAGCTGGAATAACATGAATCAGAAGGTGGGAAGCCATCAGGCAGGGTCGTCTGGTCTCCTCCTAGCTTTCTAACTTCCTGAAGCAGTCGACAATGCTCTAGACAAATGAGATGAGAAGCTGAGGAAAAGGAAGCAAAGAGACCTAATTTGTAAGAACTGGGTCAGGCAGCAGTCTGGACTGTAAGCCACAAGAGTCTAAAGGAGCCTAATGAACAGACAAGAGGGTCCTGGGCCTTCCTTCACAAGGTGGCAAAGCGGGAACAGAAGAGTTGGATAGCTGACAACACCCTAAGAACCCTAGCTATACACAGCTGAGCACAGCTGTACATTTTCCTTTCTTTCCTGGCCACTAGTGAAGATCAAAGGTATCTATCTGGATACCCAAAATTTCCTTTCCTCACCTGCTGCCTGGATGTGTGGGCCTGGGGGATGGGATGAGGAAGGCAAGTAGTAACAGGGGAGCCAGAGGGGCTGAACACTCAGAGCCATGGCCAGTGTCCCTGTAGATGCTCCCTACCCTGGCATGCAGAGAAAGGCCAGCAAGCCTTCCTTTCAATCTTACGGTGGTTCAAACTCTTGTTGAGATCCAACAAGCAGGCAGGCTCCCCAGGCAAAGCTCTCCTTCCTTCCTCTAGAGGACAACAGCACTGGACCTCGGTTTACTCTTAAGATGACGGGATACCTAAGTTCTGCACAAAAGAGATTGTATGCTGTATAAGGTAAGAATGAAGAGTTTTAACTTTCTCTCCTGTCAAGACAGAACACCAGCCAGGCACCGGTGGCTTACACCTGCAATCCTAGCTACTCACGAGACAGATCAGGAGACTTGAGGTTCAAAGCAAGCCCCAGCAAATAGTTCTTAAGACCCAATCTCGAAAAAACCCATCACAAAAAAGGGCTGGTGGAGTTCAAACCCCAGTACCACAGGAAAAAAAAAAAAAAAAAAACAAGACAGGAGACCTTGCCAGGCAGCCATGAGTGCTCCCATGGAGCCCCTGGGAAACGCTGATGGGAGGGCTCCAAAGGGAGCCACAACTGCTTACTCCTGCAGCATGGACAATGTCTGCACTCTAGGTACTGCTTATGTGAATCTTTTATTTCTATCTGTACCTTCTGTATTTGTAAAATAAAAGGCAAACGAGGGGTGCAAACCCAAAAGGAGAGTTGAGAAGCCAAAGAAGATATTTCAGTTTTGGGTTACAGAGCACCTTAAAGTCCAGTGTGTCAGGTGCTCTCAACTACTTCCAACAAATACAGACGTGTGCTGGAGTTAACAACTGCTGGGCTTCTTCCAAGTGAAGCACGGCTGGTGAGAAGCAGGGACGTGACTCCAGGAACTAATGTCACTGGGTTTACCAGTTCCTGGACACCTACAGTAGAAGGTCCTCTTAGGTGTCAGGTGTCTTCGTACTCTAGACCTCACTCCCCTCAAGGGTGACCACATTCACCCAAGGCCTCAAGGCTCTCTGTTGTTATTATTACAGCCTCTGCTCAGCCACCTCCCAAGTTACTAAGGAAAGATTACCTGGTGTCTTTAAATATCTGAGCACAGCAGGCAGTGTCTCTTACCACTCCAAAATTATGGAAGCCGATTAAAAATTAACTCTAGAGCCAGGTGCTGTGACATACACCTGTAGCCCCAACCTCTAGGAAGGCTAAGGCATGAGGATTACTTCAACACACAGGTTGGACACCAGTCTGGGTAACATAGCAAAACTCTGGCTCAAAAACAAACAAAACACTGGTGGCTCACACCTGCAATCTTAGCTACCTGGGCGGCTGAGATCAGGAGGACTGTGGTTTGAGGTCAACCCAGGCAAAAAGTTCTGGAGACCCCCGTCTCCAAAATAATCAGACCAACATGGACTGGAGGTGTGACTCAAGTGGTAGAGCACCTGCTTTGTGAGTATGAAGCCCTGAGTTCAAACCCTAGTCCAACCAAAAAAACCAAAAAAAAAAATCTACTCAGCACCCAGCATAGTTAACTGCACTCCTAACGGTGAATCCTGCCTTGCACTTACCAAGGTTTTTGGAACTGGTAATTCTCCCTGCACTTCAAGGACCTGGAGGATTTCTAGGAAGTGAAGCAAGGTGTCCTAGCCAGCCCCTACAAAACTGGTAGAAAAGACTGAGAACTCAGCAGAAATGACAGAACAAATGCCACTTTGTTAAAAAAAAAAAAAAAAAATTCAGAGTGGACTGAACCCCCTTGCTTATAACTTCAACCAAGCTGACAAGAGAGTCAACCTTTTCTACACCATGCAGTATGGGCTCCATTGGAGCGTGCAAAGCTATGTTCAAAGGCATGTGTGATCACTGCTCTACACTTAAATTTTCCCAAAGAGGGAGAAACTACCCATGTCCACAGGAAGTGGGGCAAGATGTTGGTAGCCCAGCCCACACAGTCCTAACTCAGTCTGTCATGCTCTCTCTGTGGCCCAATGACACTGGATATCTCCCACATGGACCCCCACCCAGTCACACACATTGTGTGGCCCCGTATGACCTGGACCCTAAGGCCCCTGAGCCAGTCCTTCACATTCGCCTGGCACCATTTTTGCTGGGCAGAGGGGTGGAGCTCACTTCAGTTCTCCTAGACCCATATTGTGACCCCCAGGAGTCCTTGATTCTTAGATGCAAAGTTCTACATTACATGTCCCATTGCTTCATGTTTTTTTTTTTTTTTTTTTTTGCAGTAATGAGGTTTGAACTCAGGGCCTCATGCATGGAAGGCAGGCATTCTACCACTGGAGCCCCTCCACCAGCCCCCCAATGCTTCTTATACTTCAGGTGCATGCCAGTCCTCTCCACTGCCAAGTCCTATGTGGCCCAGGACCCCTTGCCTGGCCTCTCTTAGTTGACTTACTTCCAGTGAGCCTGCTAGCTACCCATCTCAATGGATTGCTCTAAGCATATTAGCTCATGCTCACAGAACTCCAGGCATTTATTCTAAGGAGTTTATTTAATGTTTTGGGTTTTTTTTTTTTTAATAAAAATATAGTCTCACTATGCTGCCCAGGCTGTTCTCAAACTCCAGATCCCCTCACCTCAGCCTCCAAGTAGCTAGGATTACAAATGTATGCCAACCACAGCCAACTTAATTTTGAAACAACCTTAGGTGATACCATCACTCCTACCTTTACAGATGAGGTGAATGAGGCACAAAGAGGTTAAGCAACTGGCCCAAGGCCATACAGCTAGGAAGGGCCGAAATGAGATTCCAACCCAAGGCCTGAGTCTCAGGAGCCCAGGCTCTCTGAGATGAGATGTTGGGGCTTGAAGTGCTTTAAAAGGAACCAGGGGTGTGGCTCAATTGGTAAAGTGCCTGTCTAGCAAGCCAAAGCCCTGAGCTCAATCTCTAGTACCACCAAAAACAAACACAAAAAACACAGAAGTGCTCCACAACCTGTCTACTGTTCATACCAAACCTGCAAACATCCAATGTACCGACTTTCCTACCCAGCTCAAGTGTCTAACAAACGCATGCTGTCTCCATCTTTTGTACCTGAAGAAAGAAATGTACTGTAACTTCTATATCAAGCTATTTAAAATTCATGAGATTGAGGCTGGGGATGCAGCTTGGTGACAAGGCAATTGCTTAGCATGCGTGAGGCTCTGAATTCGATGTCCACTATTGGAAAAAAAAAAAAAAGAGGCACCCAGATGGAGGTCGAAAATGCCCACAATTCTCACAATGTGAGAGGCTGAGGCAGCAGGATGGAGAATTTTTTGGTAGCTTAGGGCTACAAAAAAAAAAAAAAAAAAAAAAAAAAAAAAAATCAACAAATTACAAAGTAAAATAAGCTTCACAGGATCACAATGTACTTTCTGTGGGAACTACTGCCTGACTCTCTTCATGGCCAGAGCAGTTCCTCAAAGGAGCCAGGGAACTTAGGCTCAGCTCTGCGCATGTTAGCCTCATGATTTATAGAGTCCTCCAGCCCTCTCCCCTCACCATATTGTTGGTGAACCTCAAACCACAAACCTCACAGAAGCACAAATGCATGGGACCCTATCCCAGAGTGGACAAGGCAATACCCCAAGAAAGTCTGGGAAGAATGACAGAGGCTCGATACCCAGTAATGAGATATGAACTCAGAGGCTGAAGTCCCTCACTCTCACAAGGTTCTGCTGGGCAGGGACCACCCAGGGGCTGCCCCCACCCCCCCCCCAATTTGCCTTGAACTAGTCTCAAGTGGATAGTCCTCAGCTTTAGGACTCCCCAAGTAACTCTAATATGCAGAGATGAGAGCCACTAAGAAAGGTCCACTGTAAGATACTGAGAAGTTGGAACTGTGATGTCAACTGGAAAGAGGAGCTGGGACAATGCAGGTGCAGGCCCATCCGCTAAATATTTGCTACACATGGAAAACTAACATTTCATGGTTCCCACCCTAATTCTCTGGAAGGAGCTTCTCTCAGAAGAGGGGCTCCTGGCAAGACCTGAAGCTCCTCGTGAGGGAAGAGCTTGCTGTCTCCAGCACATGGAGGGAACCCTAAAGGTCTGGAAGGCTCTGGAGCAGTTGCTGGACTGCATGTGCTTGATAGCAAGCACAGGGGGCTGAAGAGGCTTTGGGGCTTCCTGGTGGTTATAAGAATGGGGCTTTTCTACACTAAAGGTTGAGGTGCAGGAAAGAGGTCCTAGGACCTCCCACTGCAAAGAGAGGCCCACTTTTTAGGAACACAAAATTTTCACCACTGCGTAAGAAAGCAGGGTTCAACTCATGCCCAGTATATAATCCAAACTGGGCCTACTCAGTAAGATTCACAGAGTTCTCTAAACTCCCTTGCTGTGGTATTATAATACATACTGTTATTTGATTGTAATTTATTTATTTTGGCAGTACTGGGCTTTGAACTTAGGGCTTCACGCCTGCATGACCACACCTGCAGCCCCCATATTTGTTATTTTTGTCTATGGCTCCTAGCTCATAATATACTTAACATGGCAGGCCATAAAAACTAGGATTCTCTCCAAGGTGGTCACAGAAATTGATTTTCTAGAGCCTTTCTGTTCTGGAGTTGACCATGGAGAAATTCTTTGACCTACCTTTTCTGGTAGTAGATGGCTTTTATGGGAACCATCCACCATCAGAACTGAACCACATGGGAGGACATTCAGCTGGGCCCACTGCGGCACAACTGACTGCCTGTTTGCTGGTGGGAGAACTCCACACCTTCAGAGGTCAGAGGTCTTCTGTGTTGGTTGTTGTGGTGTGAGAGCAGAGATGGAAACATGGCTTCTGGTTCCTATGCACTTCCTGTATCTGCTAAAGGGATGGTGCAATGTCGAACAAACCCACAAAATCTAGAAGTGTTTTTGAAATCAAGACTAAAGAGCAATTATAAACTGCCAACACCAATTTCAGAATCAGTGTCGTTTCTGTCTTAACTTTACCTGCTCAACAGCTAAGTCCTTCATCACAACTCAGCAATGCTTGCAGAGTTGAGGGGCATCTGCAGAGCCTTAGGGGCCGTTACCCTGTATCCTTCCCCACAGTGCCTTCAAGGAGACTGATTTCGTCCCCTTCCCAACAGTAGTATTAGCAAGTAGGTGATCATCAATTCATTAGCATGCACAGTGCCTATTGTGAACACCTGGCCATTTTACAATTAGTCACATCATTGTTTCTTTAGTACAGGTTAGCAGCACGGTGACATAAGCAGATTAACTCTGGAAGCAACTGTAGTGAGTACCCACCCAGCCACAACACCCATTCACCTCACAAGGAGGACTGGGTGCGGGTGAGGGTATCATCTGGCAACTGTGACAAAAACCCACGTGTGCTGCACACATGCACTTCCCAAAGGCCCTGGCCTCTGACGCCATGGGAATGCCCTCCAAAGTTTCCTCAGTGTGATCACCAGCACTCACGAATCTGGAGATCCAAACTGCACACCCTGCTCTGGAATTTGCCACTTAGGAACATGAGCAGGCGATAGGCAGGCCCCATTGTGCTCCAGGACAGAACAGCTGAGATAGCAGCTCCCTGGCAAGGCTCATAGGGGCCTTGTGGAAGGCAGTGCTGTATGGGAGTGTGGAGAGCTGGAGCCAAACAAGCTGTTCCTGAAGCAGTCAGTTCCCAGCCACCTGCCCCTGGTGGGCCAGCTCTTCTCTGTGTCACAGACCTTTCTGTGGAACCATTTATTTTTCCAGATTGAGTCTTGGACAATCTGGCTAAAGAGTGGGATAAAAAATAACATGCCTGAAACACACTAAGGCTGCATTCCTGATGAATTTCAAGTGATCAGAACAAAGGAAACTTGAGAGCCTTTCCCTCCTGTCTGGCGTCCTGGCTGCCACAGGCTGTGGCACAGCGGGAGGAGCTCAAGCAACACAGCCGACTGCTCTCACACCCTCACCAAGTTTGTCTGTGGATGAGATAATGTCAGCGGGCACGGAGGAGTCCAGATCGGCATCCAAAATCCCCAGGGGGTCCAGCTGTGCTACATGGTGCCCTCGTATCTATGAGTGGGCCAACGATGAGAGGGAAGGACACACACAAAAGGACAGGAGAAAAAAAGAGGGAAGGGGTAAAAAAAAGTAAAATTACATTAAAATGAGCATTTACAGATTAATTCTCACCCACGTTTGAAGAAACAGTTACCGGAGCATCATCAAAATTTACACAACTAATTCCGAGAGGATCAAGTTTTGCAATGTGGTGACCCCTGACCTGGAATAATAACACAAGCAAGTCATTAAGCAGATCAGTGAGCTGGGGGTGGGGTGGGGGCAGGAGGGAGGGAGGATGAGTTTATACTTCATGCAAATAAGCAGAGAGGAACACAGCTCAGTGAACCCATACAGCAAAACAAGTTTTGAAAAGTCCGTCTGTAAAAACATGTTGAACCTAAATGCACTTTCATTAAAAATAAAGACAGAGATAAACTCAGGCTATGATAAACTGGGACAGTGTGAAAGGATATGTCTCTTGGGATACTTCAATTTCCCTGATCAGTGGAAATGAGTTATGTTGGGAACTTGTTACACCAGTGAGAGGGCTTAATGTGACAATAAACACATCCCTAAGGAGAAAAATGAAGGGTGAGGTGTTGGCTATGGCTGAGGAGGGTACAGATGAAGCTTCACCTTACTAAAACAAGGTGTGCCTTTTATGACATGTGGGTGGGGAGTGAGGGCTTTGGCCCCAATGCTGCACACAGTAGGTCATAGAGCAGTCAGAAAAAAAAAAAAATCCCACTACAACATGGACACAAAGCATTTGATCTAAACTGTTTTAAAAAACAAATGGAAGCTGGGCGCCAGTGGCTCATGCCTGTAGTCCTAGCTACTTGGGAGGCTGAGATCATGAGGACCAAGGTTACAGGACAGCTCCAGAAAATTGTTCATGACAACCCATCTCCAAAATAATGAGAGCAAAATGGACTGGAGGAGTGGCTCAAGTGGTACAGCACCTGCTCAAGAATGAAACTCTGAGTTCAAACCACAGCCCCACCAAAAAAAGGTAAAAAATAAATAAAAACAAGTGGAGAGGTAGGCCCTTGCCTAACATGTGAAGCCCTTGGTTCCATCCCCAACACAGCAAAAGAAAAAACTAGAGAAAGAAAATTGCTTCCAATTTTAAGTTTCTTTCAGTTTTGGACATTTCAGTCATAATTTCTTGCTAGCAGTTTGAGAAGGGTAGCAGGTGCTGAGAAGTCACTGAACAACCAGGTTAAAGATGTTACTACTGCCAGGTGTAGTGACTGACAATTATAATCCCAGTGACTCCAGAGACTGAGATTTCCAGGATCAAGGTTGGAGGCCTGTCCCAGGGGTAAAGGAGGATGGGAATGGGGATGTTAATGAGACCCCTATCTCAATCAGTAAGCTGGGTATGGTAGTGTGCACCTGTCATTCCAGCTACTTGGGAGGCTGTAGGTAGAAGAATCATGGTCTGAGTCTAGTCCCAGGCAAAAGCTCAAGATTCTACCTGAAAAATAACTTAAGCAAAAAAAATGGGCTGGGCGGGGGGGACAGGGCATGGCTCAAGTGGTAGAGCAAGCACAAGGTCCTGAGTTCAAACCCAGTACCACAGAAAAGAAAAAAAAGTTGCTACTGTGTCCAAATGCAGGAAATGGTTAGGAACAAAGGTGCAAAACTTAGCTATGGACAGGTCTTCTGTGGACAGCATCTTATAGGTTGGCACTGTGCTGTCTACAGCACTCTGTGCACCTCCTTGCTGAGGCAGCAGCACATGTGCCTAGGAAGAGGACTCCTTGCCAGAGTATGGCAGCAAAGACTGGGTCCTAGGGCCATCATCTCCAGAAAATAGAAACATGGGTGGAAAGGAATCTCAGTGCACCAGATCTCTGGTTGCTACTGCTGTTATCTACACAGGAGTTGGGGTGGAGCCTAGACTCCCACAGGAGCTCCCAGAAGGGAGGTACTAGGCTTACTAGTTTTCTCCCCAGTTCCTCCTTAAAATCTATTCTCAGATGGAGTCAGAAGGTCTGGTTGTGGCTTTCCCTGACATGAGGTAGAAATGCTGGAAGACACTTGGTTACTTTCCTTGAAGAACGGTCAGGGAGGAAAAGCCCAGCTGTGCTGGACACACCTGGTGCAGTGGCTGCTGAATGGCATGTTTTATACCCACACTGCAGGCCCAGCCACACTGCCCCACCTCAATCTGCTTCCCTGGTTAGTATTCTGCTAGTAGCAAATGAGAAGTGGCATCGACCAGCCAACAGGACCCCGCCCAGCCACCGCTCTTTGCCAGGTATGCAACACTTCTTCATGCCCAGGTACTGACTTGGTTTCCCTGTCCACAAATCTTCCTTGTCAATTTATGAAAGGAAATAAGGAGCTATAATGAGATAGGCAATAAAGAAGACAGAAGATCTGCTCAACTAGGGTTGGCCTGGCTCTCCTTTTCTCTTGTGTATTTGGAGGAGAAAGTCCAATGATAGCAAACACTCAGAAAGGCCTGAGAAACACTGCACCCTTTGTCAGGGAGTAGTCAGCCTCTGCTCACCTGATATGCCCTGATGAGAGACTGTACCGCCAGGTGATCCTCCACCAGCTTGTCCACGTTGGGTTGGGCCTCCATCAGGGACTGTGCATGGGCCACAGTAGCCAGGGAGCTTCGGCTCAGGGAAAGGGGACTCTGGTAAGCAGTGCCCGGAGGGGCTCCAGCATTGGTGTTGCGAAAAAAAATGTCCCATGACTAAAGACAAAAAAAGTACAGGTTATCTCGCCGCTCCCCTAAATGGCCACAGAGAACTGCCTTCCCCAGGACAGGCAGTTCTGCCATCTTCTTACGTTGAAGTTTACGTGATTTCATCTACAATCTGCATGTATTCCGTGAACTGTAACAATTTATTCACTTTTTTAAAACTTAAAAACTAGACAGGGTTTTTTTGCTGCTGTTGTTTTTTGTGGCAAGGTCTCAACAAGTAGCCCAGACTGGCCTGGAGTTCACTATGTAGCCCAGGCTGGTATCAAACTCGAAATCCTCCTGCCTCAGCTTCTCAAGTGCTGGGATAATTACAGGTGGGTGCCAGTAATTATCAAACACCAGACAATTCTGGTGAAATACTGTCCTCTCTGCAATACATTTTTCAGTTTCTAAGATTTTCCATCAATAAACTCTGATTGGACTATCTTGAAAAATTCAGAGAGGAGCTGGGTATGGTGGCACAAACCTGTATCTCAGCTTCTTGGGAGACAGAGGCAGGGGATCTTGAGTTCAAAGCCAGCCCAGACAAAGTTAGCAAGAGACCCCGTCTCAAAGTAAAATACAGAGGGTTAGGGCCATGGCTCTAGCGGTAGAGTACTTGCTTAGTATTTGTGAGGCCCTAGATGCAATCCTCAATACTGGGAGGTGGGAGGGTATCAGATTTAGAAACTTTATTATGTTTACCTTCCTAGGAAGCTCTGCCAAGATACTATCCACATGTGGTCCCTGTCTGGGGCTCGAGGGCCTTAAGTCCCACGCCTGGGGATGGGGCCTTGCATGGGCACGTGCTCTACCATGGAGTCACATTTCAGCAGACCCTCTACCTTTACACAGGCTCTTTCACAATGCTGTCCTGAACACAAACGGACTTGAAAGGCCCCCACAGTGAAGCGCTGCTGTATGCTGTTGGTACATAAACTAGTAGAAAGCTCCCCTGACTACATGCAGATCTGGCCTATCGCTGAAAACTATTTTTGAAGGGAGTTTTCTGAAATGTCTAGAACATTCTACAATAAGAACATACTTCCAGTCAGTTCCAGATCACACCTGCAATCCCAGATGAGGCTGAAGCAGAAAGACCTCTAGTTCAACGCCAGCCTGGCTACAATAGTGAGTTGGGCTATACAACAAAACCCGTTTAGGTGATACTAGGGTTTGAACCCAGAGCCTTGCACTTGCTAGGCAGGAGTCCTATCATCACTTGAGCCACGCCCCCAGCCCTTTGACTTTAGTTATCTTTTGAATAGGGTCACTTATCTGTGTCAGGGCCAACCTGGACCTCGATCCTCCTATTTACATCTCCCACATAACAGGTACTAACCCACACCCAGCTATTGGTTGAGATGGGGGTCTCACTAACTTTTTGCCAGGGCAACTCTCCAATCTCATTCCTCCCAATCTCTGCTTCCAGAGTAGCTGGTATTACAGGTGTGAGCCACTGCTCCCAGTCAGAAGAAATAATTACTAAAACCCACATCACTGGAGGTGTGATTACATAGCTTTATGAATATATTAAAAACCAGTGGACTGTATGGTTCAAAATGGTGACATTTGTATTAGTGAATTTTATCTCAATGACAGTTTTTAGAGTAATTTTCAGTGCACCTGCTATCTGCAGAAGAGAGATCTGAGGTCCTTTTCTGGCACCTCCACGAGACCTACTGCAGAAGCATCAAGAAGCATCATGTACAGACACAGGCTGACAGGAACATAAAACACAGGTCTCCACAACTGCATTTTCATACAAGTTTTGTTTTGTTGGTGCTACTGGGGATTGAACTCAAGGTGTCAAGCTTGGAGGCAGGTGCTCTACCACATGAGCCACTTCACACTTTCCTTTCTAAAAGATGCTGTCAAATGTTTGTGACACAAATCCAGGAAGCAGAACTCTCAAGACAATGTTCTCAATCTTCTCAAGCCAGTTCTCATCAAACTGGCTTCCAGCAAAACTCACTGACCCTTCCTCTAATGTGGAAAAAGGCAGTCTGTCCATCTGAGACAAAACCTTACTCTGAGAGAACAGAGGACCCCTCAGCATCACTGCCCGGGGCAAGGCCTGCCTGCCTTCCACTCTTCTGACAGGTTCTGTGTAAGGAGGGTGGCTATGAATGAACTGGACTGATGTCCCCAGCTGTTTCTGACTTCACAGCACTTTCCTAGCAGGCCCAAGAGGTCCCTACATTATGGAATCAGAGGTGACCAAGGATAGCATGCTATGGCTGTCCATCCTTCTTCTGAAGCAGACACAGATACTGCACACCTCAGTTGTCTACCCTTTTTCCAGGAGTAGAGGTGAGCAATGACAACACACCTAGGCCTTTCACCGTGTTCTGGAAGATGACTGAGGGCCACAGACTTTGACCATCCAATGTGAAACACAAGCTGCCAGGTGGCTCTCCTTGGACTCTCCCTGGGCTCCACTGAGGCCTCCAGTAAAGCCCCTCCAATACAGCAGCAAACTAGGCAGGAGTCAACCCAACTCCACTGTATCCCAGCACAGCAAGAACCAACAGCAAGCTGCTCCCACCATGTGAAACCTAATGAAATTCATTACTTTAAACTTGCTGGGTCCCCACACATAGCTCAACTCAGACACTCCTGGCTGTAGGACCACATCAAGGGTAGAGAGAGGTGCTAGGTGAGATGGCTCACACTTATAATCCCAGCTACACATGAGGTAGCGATCGGAAAGCTCAAGGGTAGAGTCAAGACTCTATCTAATCACCAATAGGCTGGGCTTGGTGGCCGGTGCCTGTGGTTCCAACTACTCAGGAGGCCTTACGTAGGAGGATCAGTCTGAGACTGGGCCCTGGATGAAATATAAGTTCCACCCTACGTGAAAAACAACTAAAGGGAGTGTTACTCAATTAGTAGAGCACCTGTCTAACAAGAATGAGGCCCTAGACTCCAACCCCAGCACTGCCAAAAAAGAAAAGGGCAGAGGGAGGACATGACTGACCCTGAAAACAAGTAGCCCCTGGACAGCAGTACAACCCAAACTAAAAAAAAAAAAAAAAAATCCCCCCTGTGGGCTGGGGATTAAACCCAGGGCCTTCCGCACATTAGGTGAGCGTTCTATCACTGAGCTATATCCAGAGTTCGAACTTACTTTTTCTGGGGGAGGAGAGGTATTGGTACTGGGGTCTGAACTGAACTCAGGTCTTCAAATTTGTTAGGCAGGCCCAAACTTTCCTTAACCCTTAAAACATATCATCTTTCTTCTATCTTACAGGGCTTACTCAAAAGTCACCCAACATGAAGACCTGTTCTCCCTAGCCATATAGACTTTCTTATCTTGGGGCAATAGTGGCTTATGGATCCAGAGCCAAAAGTCATAGCAAAAATCAGAATTTTCAAGCAAGGCACAGTAGTACATGTTTGTAATCCTATCCCTTGGAGGCTGAGGCAGAAAGATCAGAGCCGCCAGGAGCTGGTAGCTCACACCTGTAATCCTAGCTATTCAGGAGGCACAGATCAGGAGGATCAAGGTTCAAAGCCAGCCTGGGCAATAGTCTTGAGACCTTATCTTGAAAAAACCCACCACAAAAAAAGGGCTCAAGGTGTAGGCCATGAGTTGTTCAAGCCCCAGAACCACAAAAAGATAAAAAGAAAAAAAAAAGTATGGAACCCTGAGGCCGGCCTGGTTACACAGCAAGTGCCAGAACCAGCCAGTCTGGGTAAAACAGCTATAACCTGTTTTTAAAAAAGAAAAAGAAAAGAAAAGAAAAAATTGTGACACCTTAGACCCTTTTTAAAAAACACAACTTAAAAACTTTGAAGCGCTGGCAGAATGGCTCAAGTGGTAGAGTGCCTACCCAGCAAGGCTCTGACTTCAAGCCCCAGTACTTCCAAAAAAAAAAAAAAAAACCAAAAGCTTACTTTGAGCTAACACCAGTGGCTCATGCCTGTAATCCTAGCTACTTGGGAGGCTGAGATCAGAAGGATCATGGTTCAAGGCCATACTGAGCAAACAGTTTGTGAGACCCTATCTCCAAAATAACCAGAGCAAAATGTGAGGCAGATTAGCAAGGGAAATGACCCAACATGAGACCGGCCCCCTTCTCTTAAACAAACAGGCATTTCCCCATCAGAGCTATCTAGAGATGGCTCAGAGCCATCTCTAGAGCAATAAATTCCCTCTAAGCTATAAACACCCTGTAAATATCTTTGCAAGATAGCATCAAAAGACACGTCCTTGGGCCTGCCTTGCTTGTTAAAAAAGGGCCTGCCCCCCCAGTTTGACCTCCCAGGCCAAGTCCTCTTAGGACCTCATGAACATTGGTCACATCTCATACAAGCAATTAAAAACCTAAAAATTAGCATATGCTTATACGCAGAATAACCCTTGTTATGTGATTTGGCAGCGTTAATTAAACCTGCCAGTCACCCTAGCCCCTTCCTGAGAACTGCCCAGATTTTTCCCACAACTATAAATTGGGCTTAAACAAAGAGATCAATGATTCTGCGCCACCTGGCAGAGCCCACCACTTTCCCTGAGGTGCTTCCTTACTCTCTTTCCCTTTCTTTCAATAAAGTTTGCAATAAATAAATAAAATCGTAATTTTCTTTCTTTGGTAACCACTTCTAACTCATTTGATGTACTGGGAATATCAACCATGCCCTCCTCTGGGAAAGGGTTGGCTTAGGCAGAATGACACACAGCAGTCAGCAGGTAGGGTGTTAACAAGGCTAAGTGCATCCTGGCAGAGCTAACCTTCAGTAATAACAGTGCCACAGGTCTCTCAACCTGGTGGCTGGCTGGGAAAACAGTAATTGGTAAGCTTCTGGGCTTGGCAATTAAAGGAGTTTTCCCCAGTCGAAGCCTGGGTGAAGGTCAAGGACAAGGGCAGCTGGCTAGCCCAGACAGAGAGAGAGAGAGAGAGAGAGAGAGAAGGCAGTGATCGTGCTCATCGGGCCTCCTCTCTCTGACCTTCTTTTGTGCTTGGAATAAAACTCCAGGTGATTTTCAATTGGCTGAGAACAGCCAG